TATGAGACCCGCTGCAGAGGTGCATCATGGTCTCCCGTCGAGGAAAAAAAAAAAGCCAATGGAGGCTTTAGAGAAATGCGGTAAGGTCTGACAGGCGTAAGGGAACGCTATCAAATCCTGCGGTTCAGACACTTCCAGCCCAAAGAACAGGACAAAACTGCTTTTTCCCCTTTACATGAAACATTACACAACTAACCATATTTCCCCGTTATGGAACAGTGAAGTAATCAGGCCAGTGCAAACGCAGCACAAAAAGCCACCGCTATATTTAGGTCATGAATTTTCTTCCTGAAATTAAGTCATTAGTCTCAGCTCGTCATTTAGAGTCATGTCAGTCAATCTGGAGATTTCTGTTGGTTCTCATTCAACTTAACATTAAAGAGTGTAGCATCATGATTTCTGTTTCCTAAAGTTTAGCCGTAATCATCTCCCGATGTCTCCCAAATTTTTGTGAAAGCGGTTTCTGAATTAAAGCACTTCAGCAACTTGTGACGCAATACATTATACAAAGTCTTAAAGGGACAGTTCACCCAAAACTGAAAATTCTGTCAACATTTAAATCAAGATCCACTTGTCACAAACCAATTTAAGTTATTTTGAAATTAGCTGAAGGCCTGTAACCACTGACATTGAGCTTTACTCAATAACTCGATTTCGTCTTCAATAGAAAAAGGAAACTCTTAAAGGTGTGGAACAGTTTAAGGGAGAACAAATGGCGAGTACATTTGTATTAAATCCCTTTAGATATTAATAATTGGAGTAGTTTTAACTAGCCCTTACAACATATTTGAACCCAGAAGTCCAATCATAACTTATAGATAAATATGATCAATGTTATTTATTTATTACCTTTTAAGAGATACATGCATTTAAAACTTGAGATCGGGCATTCTGGGTATGTTTAAGAGCCTATATGTGTCAGAAATTCTTATTGTAAAATTAGTTGCTGAACCATTTTGCCTGCATCTCACCAATTTTTAGGGTTGAATTTTGTTGACAAAAATGCATGTTTATTTGGTGTGATTCATGTAATTAAGAACTTTATAGGATAAATGCAAATGGACAAATGTGGTGATTACGTTAATTAACATATAAAAAACACATGAATTAATAAATATTTAGCTTTTGTGACACAATATGGTTTTAGACAAAAACTATGAAGCAAATAAACATGTAAATAGTATAATGAAGGTTAATATTGGGAATTTTACTACTTTAGAGAGAAATCTTTCAAAAATGTAATATGATGATTTTAATAATGTGTTAATAATGTAGTGATGATTTTAGTGACGCTTTAATTATATTAATTTAGTGATGATTTAGTTGTTTTAATAATTTAGTGATGATTTTAGTGATGCTTTAATTATATTAATTTAGTGATGATTTAGTTGTGTTTTAATAATTTGGTGATGATTTTAGAGACGCTTTATAATATTTAGTGATGATTTAGTTGTTTTAATAATTTAGTGATGATTTTAGTGACGCTTTAAATACATTTTTTCATGTTTTAATAATAATTTGGTGATAATTTTAGTGAAGATTTAGTGATATTTTAATAAAAAATTAGTCATGATTTAATTATAATAATTTAGTGATGATTTTATTTTAATAATTCAGTGATGTTTTAATAAATTATGATTTTACTGAAGATTTATTGATGATTCAATAAAAAATTCATGATGATTTAATAATAATTTAGTGATGATTTAGTGATGTTTATATAATTTAGCAATGATTTTAGCCATGCTTTATAATTATTTATTGATGCTTTATTTAAAAAATTTTTTTGATGATTTTGTGATATTTTAGTGATGATTTTAGTCGTTTTAATAATAATTTAGTGATGATTCTAGTGATGTTTTAATAATAATTTTGTGATGTTTTAATAATAATTTAGAGATGATTTTAATAATACTTCAGTGATGATTCTAGTGATATTTTAATAATAATTTAGTGATGATTTAATAATAATTTAGTGATGATTTAATAATATTTTAGTGATGATTCTAGTGATGATTTAATAATAATTTAGTGATGATTTAATAATAATTTAGTGATGATTCTAGTGATGATTTAATAATAATTTACTGATGTTTTATTAATAATTTAGTGATGTTTCTAGTGATGTTTTATTAATAATTTAGTGATGATTTAATAATAATTTAGTGATGATTTAATAATAATTTAGTGATGATTTAATAATAATTTAGTGATGATTCTAGTGATGATTTAATAATAATTTACTGATGTTTTATTAATAATTTAGTGATGATTTAATAATAATTTAGTGATGATCTTAGTGATGTTTTATTAATAATTTAGTGATGATTTAATAATAATTTAGTGATGATTTAATAATAATTTAGTGATGATTTAATAATAATTTTAGTGATGCAGCTCTACTTAACATTAACTAGCCATAAACTAGTGATCAAACAATAAAACTAATTCTAGTGTGATAAAATGATCACACCAAATATAAAGTAATGCATTTTTTCCCCTTTTAATGACAGAATCAAAGATATATTTTACCAGCATCCTAACAAAGAGTCCAAAATTCTCGGAAGCAGTCAAATGATTTATTTGTTATGCATCCAAATAAAAGTCAAAAGAGCTGAAAGTCAAATGGCCATCTGGAAAGGACAGATAGGAGAAGCATTGCCGGCATGCAAAGGACAGCCGGAGACACATGCAGGTGCACAACACCTGGACACAATGCTGATATTCACAGCCGCTCAAGCGCAAACTACAATTCAATGGAAACTAGAGATGAGCACTAAAGTCATTTCCATGGATTTTCAGTCACCTGAACAGAAGAAACGCGTCAGCGGTCCAACAGTCTACCAAGAAACTGCTGCTGTTTTGCATGGGTTTAGAATTAAACATGCCATTTTTTATGTCAAATGATGCTACATCGTGCAACAAACTGAATATTTTAGTGGTCTCAACAATTAAAGGTCCCATGAAATTAAAATGAAGTTTTTTCAGATGTTAGTATCAGTATTGTTAGTTTTTAAAATACCTATAAGCTCCAAAACAGTGACAAATTAAGCGATTAGAGTGTATAAAACTGATATAAACATGTAAAGCTTGCAGTTTGTTACTTGCACCTAAATGGATCAGTGCTATTTTTCATGTCACCCCATACTTCAGTTTCTCATCAAATCTTCTGACCAATCAAATGCTCTCTAGTATCTGAAATGCCACGCCCTTTAAGATACTAGCGAACAATGTGATAAAGCAAATATGCTATTGGGTATTTTTTTAAAAGGGGAGGAGCTACACTATGTCCTGCCCTTCCTGCTTCAGTTTAGATTACGTCAATCAGTCATCGAATAAGGATGCACATATCACAGCACTTCACAGGACCTTTAAGTTTTGAGATTTACCTTGGTGATACAGGCCAGTTTACTTTGATGGAAGTGGGTAAAGTAAATTTAATTTACATGAAAACATTTAAGGCAACAACTTATTCTAAGTTACCAATATAAGAGTCGGCCACTAACAACTTGATGGAAACAAACATACTCCTCGTAGGGATTTTTCCTTCTTTTTGGCTGGTGTGATGTTACAGTGAAAAGTCTAGTTACTGTGGTATATTTCAATTGGTCAATGTTTTGTTTAAAACACAAATTAAATCAATTTTGTTAGCTCACATTGTTAGTTTTGTACTGAACAATTCATCTGTGCATGTCATTAAGAAAAAAAAATTGTTTGCTCTTGCAATCTTTGATTAAAATCTGAAAATGCACTTCCCGTTTCAGTTAAATTCTCAGATTAGGTCTGTCTAAAGTAGTGGGCGTGGCTACCATACTTAACCACGCCCCTACAGCTATCAGTTTAGACAACTAACAAAAATTGTGGGCAGGGGTCCGTTCTTTGTACCTCGCTTAATCTAAGATGATTTGGCAGATCCTGGATCTTTTAATATTGATTTATTTTGATTTTAATATTGAATTACATAAAATTCAACTTTGTTGTTGGTTGCAGGCTTTACACTCTTAACTGTCAAGAGTATTTAGCAATTTATTTAGTTTTACAGTTGGAGCGAATTGTCTTTATTATAGTAGCCAGTTTCTTAATTGATGTAAAGAATAATGATGTTTAAATTAATTTTGCATTACAAAAGCATTTTGATATTGGTAAAGGCGTCTGCAACTTTTGTAAAGCATCAAATCACCGTCATATTAACAGTTAAAACATGTTCATGACTGCATAAATGTATTATTCCTTTTAAAAAAAAATAATCAAATATTGTGCATGTCTATTATAATACACAAATTGTACTAAAGCGTTTGTATCCAAAAAGTCCATATCAATACATTTTCTCTTTGAACAAACCTGTGACAGTCTTTGTATTCTTTGTAATATTTTATTTCAGAGTGTAGATTGCATAAGTTTTAGTAATATATATTTTTAAACTTATATATATATATATATATATATATATATATATATATATATATATATATATGCATGTATGTATAGTTTAAAAATATATATATTTAATATTTTCCCAAGTGTATATCTACAACTGTGAAATATATCCGAATTCGGTACATACTTTCCGAACTGACCCGATCTAATCCTGTTTATATGAAATGAGCCTGCTCCCGAGCAGGTTTGAGCTATCGGAACTGTTGCTATGAACACAACACTCACATGAGCTTTAAAGAACGAAACGATCCTGGATTGTGTCAAATCGTCAATAACCAAATCTTGTTAATTAAATAATCCACGTACAAAGAACAGACCATTTGAGTCTGTTAGGTTGTAATAACTCTCCCCAAACCCTATTACCCAACTTTCTGAATGAAATGCCTACTTTACTACACCCAATCAGCTCGCAGCAGACAAAACAATCCACGCCCACTGTTTTCTCATTTAATATTGCATTTATCTACGCAATGCATCACAACACGAAAACGAAACAAATGGTTGCAGCTTCCGGTTCATGCTGACTTTAAATGTCCAGTTTTGGGATGTGGACGGACTCTTACCTCTTCATCTGATGTGTCGTGGTCATATTCGTCCACCTGAGAGGTGATCTTCAGGGCCTCATCTCTGCCCGACGCAACGTCCTCCTCTCCTCCATCCTTCAGCACAGATTTACCCTTTCTCTTCTTCTTCTTCTTCTCCTTTGAATTCTGGCTATCAACCTGCAGGAAACAAAATGAATGGCGATCATTTTTACTCCTAGGCCAAAATATTCAAACAGGAAAGAGATTTACCATAAACAAAATGACATATTAAACGATGCCAGTTCTGTCAATATTTGCTCTCCCTTGTTCAAAACCTGTTTGTGTTTCTTTTTTGCCTGTTAAACGCAAAAGAAAACATTTTAAACAGCGCTGCATACTGGCACCCATTGACTTCCATAATATTTTGTTCCTACTCTGGAAGTCAAAGGGAGCAGCATTCTTCAAAATATCTATTATTGTGTTCAAATAATAAAAGTGTGAGGGAGAATAATTTTAGCCATTTATTTTTGGGTGAACTATCTCTTTAGATGCCAAGTTCATGATTTAAACATGTTTTTAGGAATACATTATTTATCATTAATAGATTATCTTTCTATTAAATACTGAGTATTATGTTTTTTAGGTAGTAGGTAGTGCTGTCGCCTCACAGCAAGAAGGTCGCTGGTTCGAACCTCGGCTCAGTTGGTGTTTCTGTGTGGAGTTTGCATGTTCTCCCTGCATTCGCATGGGTTTCCTCCGGGTGCTCCGGTTTCCCCCACAGTCCAAAGACATGCGGTACAGGTGAATTGGGTAGGCTAAATTGTCCGTAGTGTATGAGTGTGTGTGTGGATGTTTCCCAGAGATGGGTTGCAGCTGGAAGGGCATCCGCTGCGTAAAAATGTGCTGAATAAGTTGGCGGTTCATTCCGCTGTGGCGACCCCGGATTAAAAAAATGGACTAAGCCGACAAGAAAATGAATGAATGAATGAAATAACTTTACAGGGTGCATTTTAATCAGCTTGAGCCAAGGCCAAGCCAAGAATTTTTATTGTAGCCCGGTTTAAAAAGCATCGGTTTAAAAGTTATAACGTTAAACACAAGTGAAACTTTGCACAAGTGGTGGCACTAGAGAGTTTGCGTAAGAGAGTCCAAACTTGTTGTGGCTGAAGATCAGACTGTCCTTTATCAGTGTGCCAAAGTTTGCACAAATGCTGCAAACGGTTCATAGGGCTGCCATAGACTCCCAGAACGGAAGAGGAGGAAGCTGAAAGAATGATAAAAAGAACCGGAACAGATAGAATAGGTACCTATGCACCTTAGGTGTTTGGCCCCTAATTATAAACTTTAATACAAGAATTATTGTGCTGCTGAGTAAAATATCAAATTGTGTATGGAAATCATCGTCGATGCAAGAGATGAGGCTTGGGCCGATATAAGATTCTGACAGTATGGTAACCTTGAATATAAATATCACGGTTTCACGGTATTATGATTACTGCTCTAATATATCTGCTTTTTAAATGTCTGGGTAAAATACAAAAAAATAAAATAAAAACTTTTCTTCCTTTGTACACAATATATCTTATTTTTTATAAGATTTATAATATTTTGTAACAGTAAACAAGTCAGGCTAAATAATTCATTCATTCATTGACTTCTGCTGTCTTCATTAGTTTCAAAAACACTGATTTCTGTACAATTTTAAACGCCATCATTGGGAATCTTTTCTGCTGGAGATACTGCGGTCCTAAAAAAAACAACAAAAAATGCAAATAAAAAAAAAATCTTACACATACCTTAGGAACGGCATTAAAGAAAATACTGGCGGTTTTAAAACCTTGACTTTTCCCTTGACTTTTTGTTTATATTTTATTTTTAAATTATGCAAAAATGAACAATTTTTTAGCAACTTTTCAAAAAGTTCAGATATTTCCTGCAGTCACGAAAAAGAAAAAAAAAACAGCTTTTATCATGGTGTCGTCATGACTGTCATTTATTTTTTTAAGTGTAACTATTGCATATCAATAAGAATTAAACCGTTTTTAAATTTGTGTTTGTTAATTATTTATTAATTAATTTATATTCAGTTTTTAAATTATGCAGCTTTTCAAAAAGCTCAGATATTTCACACGGTCACAAAAAAAACTGCTTTTATCCTAAAACTCTTTTTATAGAAGCGTCGCAGTTGAGACGTTGACAATTTTAATAACATAACGATTGAAGTTTATTCATTTTCTTTTTCATTTATTTATCTATTCTCTTTTGTAAAATCTTGCAAGGTGGACAAGTTCAGATACTTCACGCCATCACAGAAACCCAACTTTTATCCTGAGACCGTCTTTTTATAGCAGTCGGGATGTTTCAGGTATGCAGTTTCTCTCATTTGGCGTCAGACGTCGTGCGCGTGATTTACGCGTGCGGCCCAAACGCAGTCAGCAGAAGCTGCACATCCTGCCGGGGATGAAAGCAGCGGCTGTTTTTCAGCACAGGCCATCAGTCAGCAGCCGGCCGAGCGCACAGAAAACAGGGTCGAGAGAAGAGCAGCTTTGAGCCGCCGCGGGTCTCTGGAGCCTGAGACGGGCAGGTGAGCAACCTGTGCTGATTTACGGCTCCTCCACGTCCCGCTATCTCTTGGAGAGCAGAGCTAAGTGAAACACTTCCTCCCCGAAGCCCAGTTAAATGCACATCAAGACGCTGTGCTCCTCAATGTGCAGCCCGATGGGACGCATGCTCTTTTTTTTCCGCTCGCGCTAAAGATCTAAAAACAAGCTGAAGGGGAGTTCTGGACAGGAAGGGTTGGGGGTTTGACACCGGCTCTTCTGAGTCATTAAACCGCAGGCCAAATCAGGACGTGACCTGTTCATATCCAATATTCACTGCAAATCTGCTGCCAGAGCAAAACGGAGAATATCAGGAGGCTTTGGGTGGTGTTATACTTCTTAAACTCACAAGTAACAAGTTGTAAAACAGATGCTTCGCTGATTTGAAGAAAAAACAACACTGAAGTCTGTTGCTTTTTCATGAGTCAACTAGATGTGTTGATTTACAATCTAGGGCTGGGCGATTTGGCCCAAAATCTAAATCTTGATTAGTTGAACATTTTAGCTAAATTACGATTAATGAATTTTATTTATTAATTTTTCTCTGCCCCATTTTTCACTGAGTAGTTTTGTGCTGTGAATATGCTTACATTTTACGATTGAGAGATTTTTGAATGTTGGGTGCTTTACTTAATTTTTAAATAATTAAAGGAAACTATTGTACTATTCTACGATCTAGGATAATTTACATCAACACTGAACGACTGAAATGAAAACACACATTAACTAAAACAAACAGTCACTCTTTCTAATAAATATGTGAAAACAAATTAAAAACAAAATTATTATTATTATTATTTATTTATTTTTTATCATCATCATCATCATCATTATTATTATTATGTTTTTCATATTAAAAGTAAAAAATAAGCAGTATCTCTTCTAAATAAAATAACTCTTTATGCTGTAAATCAGGGGTTCTCAACCTTTTTCATTTCGGGGCTCACTTCTTTTTCAGAGCAATTCTTAAAGACCCACCTGTCTGACATTTTCTCAAAAGATTTTGTATTAAATGCTTATTTCAAACCTTTATTTATTAACATATACACACATACATAAACACACACTATATATTGCTGGACATTAAAATTGTATCCTGGTGCATCTTCTTTGTAAAACGAAACAGGGGCACCATTATGCATATTTTTAAGAAAATGTAAAAATAAATAAATAAATAAATAAATAGATTCTAGGGTGACTGTACTTGATCAAAAATCCTGATAAAAAACTATTAATCACAAGACCCCTTTAATATACCGCTTTATAGTGGATTTAAATGAGATGTCTAATAAAAGGATAGGCCTTGTGTCCAAGAAATCCATCTTGTACTGAACTATGAAAAGAAAATACTCTAATACTTGACGTTCATTTATTTACAGTACATTGGTTACTACAATATTTGTGAATTTAAATTAAATACAATACTACAACTACTACTAAGAATAATAATATTATTGCTTCGCATTTAAATGCACACAAAATAAATGCTTGTTTTGACATAATACATCAAAGTTTTGTATAGTTGTGTTCTTATAAATGTGTATTACATATATATAGTATGGTATAGCATCAACATTTGATCAAACAATTTATTAAAAGTCTCGTAAAACTATTGAACATCTATTTTTTCCCTAGGACAATTTAGAAAAAAAAATAGATAAATAATAAAAAAATATATATATTTTTTTTTTTTATATAACATTTTTATTTTAGATGTGTTTAAATGTGTTTTTTTGTGTGTTATTTTTTTTTACTGTAGCACTTTGGGTTTGAAAAACAATACAAGTACAATGCATTATTATTTTTTATAATATATTTTGTGCAAAAACATTTATTTTTTATTAATTCAAAATCTAATTTGCGAAAACAGATTTACAGACATGCAAACTTCATGCTAAATTATTCATCTAATCTACTCATGCGCAGGGATTCAATTTCATACACGTGAAAGCAACACACTGGTTTGTACGACGAGGTCTGGTAATAAAATCTGAGGATGCGTGGGCAGAGGAATCGGCGCTTGACAGATGATTTGACCAGATGATGTTGGAGTGAAGCTCACGGTGTGGATTCAGATTAAAAACAAGCTCTTCAGGACGTCTGGCGGCGTGTGGCCTAAAGCCAGTTTGACCGCAAAACCGACATGGGCTGAAGATGTTGCAAAGCAAAAGCGTGACGGCGAGCGTTTGAGTCCTAAAAGTTACCAATGACAGATGATGCATGAATCAGACAGAGGAGGGAACGTCTGCTCCTTTCCATATTCCTTAAATCACACGCACTCCTTCACTCACTCCAGGCAATGATTAAATGAAGCAAAAATTATAAATGGAGAGTAACACTATAAAAAACACATAAATGTGCATATTTGTTTTCTTCTATTAATGCTTTTGAGCGGAATTATGGTACTTTGATGCTTCCTTCAACAATTTTTGATGTTAAAAAATTTAGAAAAAGTGGCTTTCATTCATATTTATAGTTTTTAAAGTGGTACAGGGTTCAACAATAAAGACTGCCCAATGGCCCGGGGCCAGTGTGAGAGATGCTCGGGACAGTAGACAGAATCGTTACAGGCCCAATCGGTCGTTTTAATATAAAGGG